AGGTGTCTTCGAAACATTGCTCATATATCCTGGGACCATCGAGTAAGTGATACAGTTGTTAGGAAACGGGTACTAGATAAGGATGGCAAATCAATTGATGAAGTAGTGAAACTTCATCAGTTGAGATGGCTGGGACACGTGCTACATATGCCCAACCACCGACTGCTCCGACGAGCGATGTTTTATGGTGTAGGAGTAGGTTGGAAGAAATCTAGGGGAGGCCAGACCAAAACATGGCATAAATCCATGAAGCCACTAACAAGTGAACTGAACCATGTTAGTAGGTGTAGACTACCTGGTTGGGATCCGCGAGATGATGGCAACTGATGGTTAGAGATCTTAAATGACATGAAACATAGTGTTCAAAATAAGTACAAACTTTCAAACGTTATTTGTAGATAATATGATTATAGTATGTTATTCAATAGGGATTAAATTTTCTATCAAAATAAAGCCTGTTACAGTATGCTCACAAATTGTGATGAAAGATAAAGGGTAATCAAAAACTTCATTTAATCAACAATAAAAATCATTACAAATTCTCAGTGTAAGTAGTATCACTATAAGATATGTGAAAAGGTGAAACAAACTAGAGAATTATGAAAATGCTAAATAGAGAAATGGAGTTAAAAAATTATCAACAAGATAGTTGGAGGTGGTCAACAGGAATTCCTGGACCTAGGTGTCGTGCTACTTGGCACTCGTCAGCAAGGTGTACTCGTTATCTTGTAAGAACTAACGCTCCTTGACGAATTCGATTCCGTGTCACCGGGATTCACAGTCAGAGGTGTTACCACCGAGCTATCGGAGCTGCGACTGACCTCCTGTTGGACTGAGATGTATTTACAATTGACTGATCACTGGGTGGTGATCACTGCCATGTATGTGAGGTCCTTCTTAGTTCACGGGATTGAATTCGTCAGGGAGTATCAGTTCCCTCAAGATAACAGGTACACCTTGCTGACGAGTGCCATAAAACACAAACCCCGGGTTCAAGGTATCCTGCTGACTACCTCCAACCACCATCTCATCTCAACATGGTGCACGCAATGTCAAATCACCTAAACTAGTGAGTACATTGAAAATTGGTCGATAGGATTTGATCTTTACCAAGAAGGATCTGATATACATGTCAGTGATCAATTAATTGAAATTATCAACAAATTAGTTCAAAATTTTATGTTTCAAGAAGTACAGAATAGTGTTGATTACCTGTTTATTTCTTTTCATACATGATGTTAACGTTTAAAACTAAGAAAAAGTGAAATAATTCAATTAGATTCATGTTTTCATATGTGAATACAAAGATTTTTAAATCAATCATTAATAAACCTGTTATGTGAATAGACTATGTTTGACATTTAGTAGCTCAAATAAAAAAGTAACAGCTGATTGAGAATATTGGTGTATCTAATTTATTGAAGCTTTTGTCTCTACAGATATAATCCAAATATCAGATACATTGAACATTTCTAGTCAATCTACACCATTAGATGATGTACATAAGATTTATTTACATGGAGATAAGACTGATTTATGCAGGAGAAGACAAACAGCGTGGCAGCAGCCTCAGCAGCAGTAGGTCTCAACATACACAAAGGGAAAAGCAGGATTCTCCGATACAACACAGCATGCACCAATCCAATCACAATTGACAGAGAAGATTTGGAAGATGTAAAAACCTTTACATATTTGGGCAGCATCATTGATGAACAGGGTGGATCTGATGCAGATGTGAAGGCGCGGATCGGCAAAGCAAGAGCAGCATATTTACAACTTAGAAACATCTGGAACTCAAAGCAACTGTCAACCAACACAAAGGTCAGGATTTTCAATACAAATGTCAAGACAGTTCTACTGTATGGGGCAGAAACCTGGAGAACTACAAAAGCCATCATCCAGAAAATACAGGTGTTTATTAACAGTTGTCTACGCAAAATACTTCAGATCCATTGGCCGGACACTATTAGCAACAACGTACTGTGGGAGAGAACAAACCAGATCCCAGTGGAGGAAGAAATCAGGAAGAAGCGCTGGAAGTGGATAGGACACACATTGAGGAAAGCACCCAACTGCGTCACAAGACAAGCCCTCACATGGAATCCTGAAGGTCAACGGAAAAGAGGAAGACCAAAGAACACATTACGCCGAGAACTGGAGATAGACATGAGAAAAATGAACAAGAATTGGATGGAACTAGAAAAGAAGGCCCAGGACAGAGTGGGTTGGAGAATGCTGGTCAGCGGCCTATGCTCCATTGGGAGTAACAGGCGTAAGTAAGTAAGTAAGACTGATTTATTATTCTGTACAATATAATATATATAGATTGATCGAGTCCCTCTGGGGTTACTGCTGGCACCAAGCCCGGATAAAGGAAGAGCGTTTGGCATGGGGTTAGCGACTCCATTCCGTGGGAAACTAGCTCGCTAAAAAAACGCTAACCAGAAAAATAATTCAAGTTATTATTAAGCAGTTAGAATAAATCAACAAACAATTCAATGTATAGTAAACGTTTTCTTCGCAATGTTTTCTTATTAAATGATAACTTGAATCAGTCAGTATACTTAATAAATCACACGTTTACAAAGTTGGCTTCTTAATCAGAAATTCAGTTGACAATTGTTGTCAACTCAAAATGGTTAAAATTGTTGTATGACAACATTGAAAACAATTAGAAACATTAATAGATAATGAAAATCATATTAGTGAATCTCTTCAATTTCTCTAACTGAATCAGATCGTACTTTCATTATGGTCAGTTAGTCAGTCAGCTACAATGTAGGACTAGGCACATATTTTGGTGGAATTTTGTTCTCTGAGCTGGATGGTTTGGTTGTAGAGCTTTCATTGTTCTTCTGAACGACATCATCAGCACAAACTTCAGATAGAAGTGAAGTGTTCCAATTTCTCCATATGTGTTTCACAGCTTGTTCTGTGCACCTCGATGTTGATTGGTTCTTATTGACCTTAAATTTGTCATTGTTTACTTCTTTGTTTTGGTTGTGTCTTCCATTGGTTTGGTTTTTGTTCCTTTATTTGTGCATGATTTTCCTGAAACACATATGGAGAAATTCGAACACTTCACTTCTAACTGAAGTTTGTGCGGTCGATATCGTTCAGAAGAACGATAAAAGCTCCACGACCAAACAATCCAGCTCAGAGAATAAAACTCCACCAAAATCATCCACCTGAGCTACAAATCTTCTCAACCATCTCTAGGCACATATATGCATCGGTTCAAGTTACCACACCTCCACATCTTCCATTATACATAATGTTTATTTTATATTGAAGAAGAATAACATAGAGCATAAAGGTAATGACTAAATCAAAATGTTACAAATGTAACAGATAACAATCTACTTGCATTCTTATTTTATATATTTGTGATACTACAGAAAGTGGAATAGTTATGAGGCAAATCAATAACCACCTTTAAATGTTAATTATATGAAGAAATATTATGTAGTTCTAATCGGAAAATAAATGATAGAGATATTTAAATCTTCAGAATTCAATATTTACAAGAAACATATATAAACGAAACAACAGTGAGACGGTAATATATGGGCAACCTTTGGGCGACGATAAAGTGATCTTGATAGTGTCCAGCTAATAACTAGGAAAAAATGAGGATTATAAACCAGTGTAAGGAATTGGAATTATGAATTTCAGTTGATGGTTAGGGTTAGGAATTAGATTCACTGTTTTTCATCACGAATTGACATCAGTTATAAAGTCAAAAATTTATTTAGCTAAATGAATGAGTGGATTTGGCGACAAAATCCGAGACCTGTTATCTTATATGTGATTGTTTCGTCCATAAATTTTAGTCTCACAAAACTAAGTATTATCTATGAGTGTTAAGCGTAAATTGATAAAGACTGAAGACTGTCATATTTATAAATTAGATTGGGATGATTTTTATGGAAATTGTATTTAATTTCAATAGTTGATTTCATGAAAAAATTAAAGCTAGACCACTGCTAAAAAATCCCACACTAGGACGAAACGGCCATCTAATGCTTCCAGGTTTTCCATGGTGATCTAGCTTTAGTCGCCCCATGAATCCAACTATGATATATATATATATATATGCAAATCCATGTTAACTGCTCTATAGTTCAACGAGATACTAATTTTCATAAATAATATTAACACTAAATGTATATGCAAAGATGGATAGTGGCTGGCAGTGGAATTAAGGATGCGCTTTTCGTCCTATTTGAAATAAATCAACTGGATGTACCTGCATCTCAGATTTGATGTTCAATCTGGGACTCAATAAGAGTCTGATCAATTGTAATGCTGAACATCAATGGGAAGATTCAAACAAACAATACTAAGTGAACTACACATATACTTTATTAATTATTAATCTCTTAAAATATAAAAAGAATACCCTGATAAGTATTATCTAAAATTAAATTTCATATGAATTCATATCAGAATTTAATTATTACTATGAATAAATCTATTCACCTAGCAACTAAATAATGTTTCTTTTTGTGTATCTATGGAGAGAAAAAATTCTGATTGATTTTTCAAAATATTTTTTTCAATGAATATATATTATGAAATATTAAACAGTATATGTTTCACAAAAAAAAACTCAAACTACTTTCGTTTTTTCTTTTTTTTCTTTTTTTGTTTTTGTTTATTTTTATTTTTGTTTTTTGTGTTTTTTTCATTTTCAAATAGTAAATAATCTCTATTTATTGATTAATTTCAAAGCATGAATAAGTATACACAATATATATTCAATATTGTAATAGATAAGTGTGACATTTAAATGAATATTATTTGTATAGTAACAATTATAAATTGAACCATTTCATTTACTTTATTAGTTTCTATGAAGGATTTCATTAGGTGTGAAATTTATGAACCACAATATCTCTGTTTTAATTCTTTTCATAGTTTATGATTCAATTGTATAGAAGTTTATAATAAACTTCTATTCTCAATACTAATAATTTATTCTTCTTAATAGTTCACCATCATCATCATCATCATCATCATCATCATCATCATCATCATCATCATCATCATCATCATCATCATCATCATCATCATCATCATCGTCATTCATTTGTATCCAAGTGAGTTAGTTAATTAAAAAGTATCATTGAATTTATTATATAATTCATTGATTATTTAATGTTTTATTGGTGATATACGATATTGTTGACGATATTGTATTGTATTCGTTGGTTGTTCATGATATATAATTGATTTATGTATTAATAATGGACAAAATATATTTACAAATGTTTGACGAAATTGATATGACATAGTTGTATATATAATAAAACTAATTGATTCATTTAATAATGTTAAAAAATCTAATAAATCACCTAAATGTTGATAAACATTCTCTTCAAATTTATCAATTAAATGTATACATGTTACTAATATACCTTGAGGTAATTCAATGACAAGAAAACATAATACAATAGTTAATAATAATGCTGTTGTACGTGTTTCACGATTTAATTTTTTACTTTCATCATTATATAATGGAGGTATCGATGTAGATTGTATAATACTTAATGATTTATCACGATGTAAAAATAATAATTTACGACGTTTTATTGATTTTTGTAATTCAATAATTAATAAAATAGTTAATATAGTTAATAAAAATGATGGTGCAATTTTTGTAATAACAGCTTGTAACCATACATTGAAATTATGTAATTGTTTTGTTCTCCAACCATTTAATTGTTTAATTGTTATATTGATATATTGTAATGAATGTATCTCATTAAAATCTGGTTCCGATGTTATATAATAATAAATTTGTATATTTTTATTAAATAATTTGTCATTATTTGATTTATAATTGAATATTGGTCCTAAACATGATTCTGAATGATTAACTAATATATTTGGTATAGATACAATAATACAAAATAATGTTGTTAATGATGCAGATATAAATGCTCTTTTACGTGTTGTATATATTGAACCAGATATTGGAAAACCTACATGGATATAACGAAATAATGCTAATAATACAGCTAACCATAATGCTAATGAATGTAACATTAATGCACAACTAACAACTATTTCTTGATATATAATCCATAATTTACTTGGTGTATAAATTGGATTTTTCATTGGATGTGGATGAATAATATAAAAATGATATAAACATGGTGCATATAATATCATTAATAATAAATCAGCAACAGCTAACCATAATAATAAATGATTTGTAGCAGTTTGTGCTAATTCACGTCGTGTTAATACAATAATATTCACTAAATTAGCTGGTATACCAAATATACATACAGCTAAACTTAATGGACCATGAATTTTACTAAATTCTGTACCAAATTTTATAAGACTATAATTTGTAATTTTATCATTATTATTTAATGAAGAATTTAATTTATTTGTATGATTAATAAATTCCAATAAAGATGGAATACATTCATTCATCTGGAGGTTTAATTCATATTCTCATTCAATGATTATTTATAATTATTTCAATGAGATTCTTTCTTTAATAATAATAATAATATTGGCAATTATATTCCACCACACACCCCCACCCCCCATCAACTCTCCTCCCTCCAAAACAAAAAAATATATATATATTACACTTCATTTAAATTACTTAGGTATCGTCGTATAGAATTAAAATATAAAATTTTCAACCAATCAAATCTCTAGAATTATTTTTCATTTAATTATCCAATCAAATTGAAGGAAATCGAAAAAAAATAATATTTAAATAATGTTGTTTAAATAAATGTTAGAATATTATAGAATATTTTATTGTTGTATTCATGAGTCAATTGAAGCTAGAGTATCATGGAAAATATAGAAACATTGGATGATCATTTTGTTGTAGTATGGGATTCTTCAGTAGTACACATTCATCATCAAACTTGGCGAGATTTAAACCAAGGACTAATCCCTTTTGCATGCGAACGCTTAACTATTAGACCACTGAGTCGGCTGGTATCCAACGGTGTTAATGTCTAAGTTCGATTAATCCACGAAGTTTAGCGACACATCCACTATTGTCTTTAAGTGAGTTACTATCTCGCAACAAACCTGGTTGAACTCTACTGATCACTGTTTCTCACTAGAACTCCAGGATATACCTCTTGAAGTCAGTCACTAGTGAGCATATGTTGATGAGTATCAGAAGGGGTTTTGTGGAGATTGAAACTTCAATCAACTGATGAATTCAACTATAAAATTACTAAAATCTCCACAAAACAACCTTCTGAGAATATTTTTCGTTTTTTTTTCAATTAAGGTAAACAGTTTATATTGAGAATCTTTTTATCCGTGTATTAATAAGATGTTATCGTATTCAGGATAAGAATAGTTTCTTTTGACTATGCTGCTCAGCATAAATTGTTTTTTTTTTCTTTTTAAATGCCAAATTTATTATTTCACTTGGAGTTTGACGGTTATTTTGTAATCCTTCATTTGAATAAGATTAAGAAAAATGATTGACAAAGCTTTTAGTTTTGTCAGAAAATCAGTAAATGATTTGTGTTTTTTGCTACAATAACAAAACCGACAGAAATATTTGGATACTTATCATTTGAAATATTAAGTAAAGTATGGTCCAAACTGTTGTGACTTTATGTCCGGCTTTTTACACGTGATTTATCCACCAATCAAAATACGACTTTTACAATCTTTGCACTGTGCCAAACCAATGACGTTCGACCGGTATGGGCAGTCCAGCGTCCTTATTGGTCCTCTATCCGCCTAGCCCATCCACTTGAGTCCAGAACACAATACCAGCTTCCAATAAGCGAATCGAATTGAATCATTTATTTCAAACATACTGTGCTTATATATCAACCAAACAGACCGCAATGCACCATAAAATAGGAAATAACATTTGTACACAATAAAACCAAAAAGTGGCTGTGAACGTGGGAGGCAATAGTCAATAAACTGAAGAACAGTAAATCGTACAATAATAATCTATAGGTCAAAATAAAGCTAATAACAAGGGAAATATAAATATACCTAATCTAATTATTGAATAGTTATACCATAAGAATGTATAGATAACATTAGTCAATTAATATGTCTCAGAAGTTACTCGTGATTTAATCTTCGCTCGGATATAACACAAACAATATTTCAGAGTATTTGCATCGTGTTCGAATCAGAATTAATTAGTATGTTTTATAATTAAACGCTTAGATATCAACTTTCTTAAAGCATCCTTATTTGCAGAATATTGAAAGTCTTGAACTTGAAGTATAAAACTTAGATCAAGAATTACAGAAGATGATTTACTTTGAAAATCAGTTAACATGAAGAACACTAGGGTATTTTTAAGCTCACATGAGATCTTGTACTTAGAGAAGTTTCAGGAAAACATGTTGAGTTTTGTAACATTATATGATATATTTTTTGTTATATTTCAGAATTTTATCAGGTTGGTTAGACGGGATTTAGTTTCTTTTAAAAATAGGGGATGTAACTTAGAAATATTAACATTTTTCTAGTACTCTTAAAATGAATGAAAATTCAGTTGGGAGAAACAATTTATTAATTAAGGCCAAGGTAACGATAACGATAAGACGTACTTCTTTTGTACGCATAGTTCTGGTTTAAGCTTCTGGATGGCAAGAGCTTTGGCTATTTTAGAAGTTGGATACGAAGAAATCTGGGTAGATTTGAACGAATCATATAAGCAACCTTAAAGTCAATTTGTGGATCTGTTGAGTGGTTATAGTCGATTAGGTGTTCAAGTATAGAACTCCTAACTGTTTTCCTTTCACCCTTATAGAACCAGGCTGGGATATGTTTTCGTATCCGAGTTGAAAGCGAGCGCTGGCTACGGCCAATGTACCTTGCTCCAGATTTCTTAGTATCCAACTTTTAAAAATAGCCGAAGCTCTTGCCATCCAGGAGCATAAACCAAAACAATTTATTGTTTAACACTAAATTAGAGAGTGTGTTCATAAAATATGAAAACCATACCTTCAATACATTATTTGCACATCTTTCTTCAGTTGTCCTTTACATGGTTCATCATTCTTTCAATTCTGTTGTTATTAAAATTTATCTCTGTTTTACTTCTTGTTGTCTTTTCCTGATGCTATGCATTCCGTAATGTATATCATATCCACTTCCAATGTCTTTTCCTAATTTCCTTCTCCACTGAAACTTGGCTTGTTATGTCCCTTAGCAGGATATTGCTAAAAGTATCCGGTCAACGGACATTAAGTACATTACGTAAACAAGTGTTTGTAAATAATTGTACCTATTCGATGATGGTTGTGGTAGTTCTCCAAGTTTCAGCTCCGTATAGTAGAACTGTCTTGACGTTCATAATGAAGATTGTGACTTTGATATTGGAAGGTGAAAGCTGTTTTGAGTCGCATATGTTCTTCAACCGTGAGAATGCGGCCTTTGCTTTGACAATCCTCGCCTTCACGTCTGCATCAGATCGTACACGTTCATCGGTGATGCTACACAGATACGTGAAATATTCCACAACTTCCAGAGTCGCTCATCAAGTGCGATTGGGTTGGTTGGTGTTCTCCGTGTTGTATTTGAGTATCTTGCTTTTTCATTTGTGTATGCTGAGGCCTGCTGATGCAGAGACTTCTGCTACACTAGTTGTCTTCATCTGCATCTGTTGGTGTGTATGGGATAGGAGGGCATGGTCATCTACGTAGTCTAAATCTTGTAGTTGGTTGTATTCCATGTTTCTCCTTTGATGTCGAGGTCTTCATAATCCAGTCGACTACCAGAAGAATGAGAAAGGGAGAGAGTAGGCAGCTTTTTCTGACTCCGGTTCTCACGTGGAGTGTATCTATCAGACGATCTCCATGCACCACTTTGCGCCGTAATCAGTCGTATGAATTGATGTTGACGATCTTCTCAGGTAACATTAAATAATTGTTTGAGTCAATCCATACATACAGTATAATGTGGGGTAATTACTTAGTGCTATTGTTATCTTTTATGGAACTGAAGTGAAACAAGTCAGTGGTGAAATCATGCTATGCGAAACGTTAAAAGAACTACTTATCAGTTGTAAACTTAATAAGCAGTAAGTTTACAAAGAAATGATCAATAAAAACAATTCATTAAGTAGTGAAATGCAAGCTGACATTTAATTACCCTTTAATACTGGGACTATCAATGTACTGAATCAAACAAAATTCAACCCATTTCAGTATATTACTTATTGGTTTTTGAAAAAGACAGTCAATCATAGTACTTTCTCGAAGATGGGATACTGAACTTAAAGAAAGTGCTAATATGTGGTCAATTGAAAAAGGATTCAAAAAACTAGTCAGCACAATATGCTGACTTCATATTTTGAAGTATATAGCTTGTCAGTTATCGAATTACATTGAAGCCAATAATATCATAGTGAAAATCCCAAACTGATCTTGTTTATAAAACCACTAAACTCGTGTAAACACTGGATGGGAGTTTCGTTTTAATATGGGTCTTCTCAACATTACACATCCTTGACCTTGAGTACAGGACTCGAACCCAGAATGTTTGGTATTGCACGTGAACGCAAAACCTATAGATCATTGAATCGACATTTAACGGTGTGCATGTTTGATTTCAATCATTTTACGGCACTGTGTATTCTTCATTCATTTCGTGCTATAAATATCGATCACAAAACTAATTTTAGTAATCAAATATAGATATTGTCACTCAATATTTAAATTAATACAATGTAAGCAGAACTAACCGTAAATAACACATATATGACCATTATTTCATTCAAATACCATCACTGTAGTAAGACTTAATAAATTCGAATAGATTAAATATCCAGTAGAATGTAAATGGAAAAATAATGATGGATTCATGATATATAGCTTCCTCTCATTTTGATATCATAAATATATCGTTATATCAGTGTTATATGCAAAGATGGATTTTGTCTAGCAGTGGAACCCAAGACGTGCGTTTTGTTCTATTCCAAACTCGTCAGCTGGATGTACCTGCATCTTTGAGCTGATGTTCACTCTGGGACTCGAACTTAGTAACGTTCGCTTCAAACGCCATCACGATATCTACTTAATCACTGAATCATGATAACCACTTGCTCCTACAATTGTGTGAAGTTTAGATTTACCTGGTATTGTTTGAATCTTCTCATTGATATTTAGGACTTCAATAAGAGACTGAATAATTGTAGTCCTAAACATCAATAGGAAGATTCAAACAAACAATACCAAGTGAATTATATCAGTATGTATTTTATTAACCAAAATAATACATGATGTGTTGAATTCCTTTGAACTTATAATGAAACATTGGAATTGGGATAATAATTTATTCTTTACTTTTCTCCTGTCAAGTAAAATGTAAATACTAATTAAATACTAAAGGACAGAACACAGCATGTTTAAACAAACTATTATCAACGTGTAAAGAGATGAAATGTACTTGAGGTAAAGATAAAAGAATGACTGATGTAGTTTTAAAAAAAGTAATTAACTAACTAGTTTACTTACATAAAGAAATGTATCATGAATACATGGACAGATGGTTAAACAAATGGTGAATATGTATATATCTGTTAAACTGTGTCTACTGGCATATGCCCTTTTTGGTTTACCTTCAGTGAAAGAAGATGAAACAGTTAAACTCAAAGAATCAAGCAAAATAATAGACAACTTTTAAGTGTTGTA